CGAAACTCGCCAGAACCTTCAGGCAAGCCGTTAGACAGCCAATCCACCAATCTTGCGGCAGCCCAACAGCTGCGAGTATCAGCGAAGAAAATAGTAGGTGTTTCAGAAATTCTGAAAAAGAAATTGAACCAGCCCTCATACAGTACTTGGTCAGCGAAACTTTGTATTGTAACTGGAGCATGATTACTGTAACAGTTGATAAGAGAGGTTTGTTATGAGTCCATGCCAGGAGCTTTTACTACACTGCTAAAGGGTCAATTGTTCAAGAGCAATACCCAGCAGGATAGGGCTTTCAACTTTGCTGAGACAGGGGCGATCGTCTAGGCCCTGGGCAAGCAGTGTGTTCTCACTCAGTACTTTTTGTGAGCTCTTCAACAACTTCACTACCAGGATCTCACCTATTCTACAAAAAGATCATCATCGTGAAGAGAGGGATTCGACAGAGGCGACACCATCCTGCCCGAACTCTTCAGCGCCTCTCTTGAGAACGTCGTGCGTCAGCTGGAACGGGAAGACACGAAGAATGACAGCGAAGATCGAGAGTCGGCAAACACACCATCTCCGCTTTGCTGCAACATTGTTCTAATAGCATCAAATAATGATTAACCAGAGCGAGCGAGACACCACAGTCAGTCAAGCAGTTCAACTGTGCGTGTGGAAAAATCGTTACCCTGCTGAATCTAACGAAGACGATGTTTATGATAAACGGACTGGTTTCTGAGGTCCCATTCTCGCTCAACGGAACGAGCATCTCTGAATGCTATGCTATGTGCACTTGGGGCGAGAAAACAATGTGATGAACTACTTAGCGCCAGAGCTGAACAGGAGGAAGTGAGCGGCTTCGGGAGCATCGAAGAACATCAAGGGGGCAGCGAAGACGATGCAGAATACGCGACCACGTGCTCTCTTATTCCAACTTTCGGGGTCCTTCCCGCCTCAACCTAAGCCACAAAAAGTTGACTTTTACGGAAGCAGGATGAACGGTTGGTGTCATTCAGCAGGCTATCCAAACAGCGATGTTCGGATCCAGCGCAAGGAGAGAGGTAATCCGGAGCTCTGCACCCCGTCGACCACCGAAGATCAGGGACGCAGTCGCATTTGCCAAGGATTCGAAAATCACGTGGAGGGCACGTCAGGCGTTTCGAAGACCGCTGACCGCTGATCAGAGCGATCACTGAATTTGGGACAAACGAAGAATACCTGGACGATCACCTATGGTCAGACTTCTTCGTGAATGCTACGAAGATTGGTATGATGTTTTCCTTCTTCAGGCACAGCGAACCCTTGAACAACTCTAGCACGTTGCACGGGCGCCACTGGTGTGGACCTAGCAACTCGATGGAGGCGAATCTGGCACAAGTTGCTCATTGCGGCTCCCACTGTCTTTCCCACACAGGTTTTAGTTCTATTGCATTGGAAACAGCCCACAATCCTCTAATTTGGATCAAGACTTACAAAAATATGCATTGAAGAGACCTCATAATAGTAACAGATTCATTGAAAAAAAAATAAAACCAAAACTGTATACACCTGGGAACCCAAATGAAATATCACCCGTAACGGGGGCATACAATGGCAATATCTAACAAAGTACAATATTAGTGGGGAATATACGAGACAACATGCTCAAAAGTGAATCATAAACATTACGGGGAGCAGATAAAGTGATTCCAGAGGTTACATATATCGCAATGGCTATGATGACTGATGATGATGACAACGGTGAAGATGATGATATACAGCGTGTACAGAAATGGGTGCAACTGGGGGAAGGTTCGCATTTCCGACTAACAAGATCGAAAATTGGGGAAGATCCATCGCATTTACATGGTAAAAGAAATAGTACAATAATATCACATATCATCGAAAAACAATGCGTAAATCTCTATTCTGAAACGGCTATCATTGCGTTAAAACGACGCCACGATATGGACCTTGCATTTTCAGATACTGAAAATATGCCGATTAGAAAATGGAATAAACGAATTTAGAATAACAGTTTAGAAAAATCAAGAAAGTGAAATTTTTTTTCTTACTGGAGCGCACCACGCATTTCCATTCAGAATCATAGCCGCTTTCGCAAGAGATCTACACTGAATTGAGCGGTCAACCGACGTATAAGGCCGCGTTCATAGCTTGCGATAGCGACGAAATTCACAAATGCAGAATTGAAGAAAAGCATTAGATAGGTATCGATTTTTCTAGTTCGTCACCTCGTATTTCTTCAAATCGATATGTACCTAATGGTTTTCTGCAATCCTGCGCTTCTGCATTTCGTTATTCTGCAAGCTCTCAGCTCTCTCCTCTTCTGCAAGCTCTCAGCTCTGGAATCACTACGGGTGTTCTGCACCACATCAATTTAGGGCAAACTAGATAGGAGGAGGATGGTGTAGTGACAAGTGGCGCGCTTACCACTCGCGCGGCGCCGGGTTCAAATCCCGGGTCGACTCCCGCCAACCAAGCCTTCTACCCTCCGGGGACGGTAAATTGGTACCAGATTCGTCTGGGAGGAAAACACTGACTTGTACATCGGCTGGCCACCGCAAGTCATTGTATAGGCCACATCGCATTCAATAAGCCACTACGATTCTGAATGGAAGTAGAATGCGTGCCGCATCCCACAAAGGGATTGATTAACGGCGAAGACTTTATCCTTTTATCCTTTAGATAGGCGTGAGAGGTTCTTTTCATGAAGTTTTAACTTCCTGGAGCGTGGTATCCATATCGCAGTCATTTATCGCTCCTGTATTTAACCTGATGTTTCTCCATGAAGAGATTCGGGAACACCGATGAAATTCCCCAAAAACAAACTAACTTCAACAGAAAGCCCAACCCCATGTTGAAGAGGTTCCAGATCGCTCTCGATTAGCCTAGCCAAAGACATTCGTGAAAACAAACGTGACTATCTCCGAGCGTCCTATATTCGAAAGATGGAAGTGACTGCTAATGCAAATGAGAGAAATGTCCTTTTCTCTTAATTGCAATGATGTTCGACGGAAGAAAAACATGAGTTCCTTCTAGGGTCCTTTCCGGTAATTAATTTCCACAATGAAGGTGACGAAAGAAATCACTCAGGATTTGAATTCTGGGAAGCACTTGGTGACCTTCTTCGGAATTACACTGGCAAAAACAATCTCCCTTAGCGGCCCTTTTCCTTTTATAAAACTGAAAATCCGAGGAGGACCAACTTCGTGAGGGCACTAAATGGTACTGGTAGCAGCTTGTATAAGCCGCCTTGTGAAGTCTCTGAATTTTTGCAGCAAATGTGGCTCCACCTACAACATTTCGCTTCACAAGCGCTTACAGGTTGCTCAATATGATAGCAGCAAAAACTAGCGAAAATGCAAAATTTCACTCACCCTAAGCCAAACAGCGCCGGAATTTTTTTTATGTACGGTGAATATGGATTCCACCATTTTCGCGAGGAAAAGATAACTGGCTTTTCCACATTTGAGTCAAGCAGGCGTCGCGACAAAAATGGTCGCAAGTCCTATATCCTTATATCCTCTAACCTAGGTGTATCCATACGATCCGACTCTCCCATTCCCCCCGCCCGAGGCTGTGTGCATTCATGATTCAAACGGCTGATTCCGTCACCGAAACAGTTCTCGAAAGATAGCTGGTAAACACGAGAAAGGGCACGTTCAGGGTACGATCCTGCCGAATCCGAGAGTCCACAAAAAGGAGAAGAAGGTACTTAACGACTGATAGATGTGGAGAATGGGAGAATAAGAGGGTCAGCGATGAGATAAAAGATCTCAAGCACGAGTTGAAAACATAGCTGAAAATTGAGTTGTGACTCGGCACCCTTTTGAATAGCTATCAATTTTTCTGCCTCAAAATAACCATGCAGGGTATTATGCTGTCAAATAGTTGACAAGAAAGACTTTCCTGCAGCGAAAAGTTGAGCACTTCACGTCACTCTGATTTTCAGTTTCAGTTGCTGAGAGCTCCACTCCGAATGACGGCGATTTTTGAAAGGGGCACGATCTAACGGGGGCCAACCGATGGAAGCCTGTATTTTCTTCGTCCCAGCGACGAAAATACTGGCTCACAGGCCTCCGAGGATAGAAGGTCTGGTTGCTACTGGCGGCAGCCCATGCAGGAATTTAACCCCGAACCGCGCGCGTAGTAAGCGAGCCACTTCCACTGCACCTCCCCTGCTGAAGATAGATTGAAACTTTGGCGGTAAGATGGGAAGCTGAAAAGAGTCATGGAATTTATATGGATACACAAGAAAAAAGTAGGAGTTCAGGTCAGATGCTTTGCGTGAAGAAGCATTATGGCCCGGGAACGGTAATTGTTAGGAAGAGACTCTTGACCCTTAAATGAAATATAGGCTAGACATTGGTTTTTGGTTTTTTTGGATTTTTTTTCTTTTTCACAAAATGAACTCAAAAACGCAATAAAATAGCACAGATGTCTGCAGTAGACTCTTCTTTCACAAAGGCTTGTGAAACATTTGATTGTCAAGAAGGCTTCCACAAAAACTTGTACCACCCATTCCAGTTCACACTGGAACTTTCTCAAAATGATACCAATCTGAAGATAGCGAAACACACTAACACCTTATCCACCTTTTCTCAGACTTTGTATTTTTTTTCTTAAGAAGCCATAATCATAGGTGAAGGATCGAAGTTGATTATAATCAGCATTGTCATAGTCTTTACAATATTTCACACAGGTGCAATTGGCTCAACGAAGTCTTTTGCAGCTGCGAACTAAAATACTGAAAAGCGCCTTAAGTACCAGCGCTCTTCTCACGCAAATACGATAAGAGCAATGGATTTCGCTAGATATGAAGTCTATACTCCTCGGGCATTCGCTTCATGTTTCTTATTCGAATTCGACCATAGCAAAAAAGTTCCTTAGAAGAAATATATATAAGCCTCGTAGCCTAATTCCTACGTAAGGCAGCAATTTTATGCTGAGAGCACCGTGGTTATAACAACAAAAGAAAGTAATCGAAATGGAAACAAGTTCTGTAAGTATTTTGATGTTCATCGAACTTCATGCCACTCCGAGTTCATTGGAGTTTCAATGTAAAAAAATAATGTGCTCAACCATACCTGAATAACAAGGCTAGGGCCTCCTGCAGTAATCTCTGGAGGAATCTGACTGAGCGGACAATTTTCAATGGACATAATCTCCAGCGAAGAGCAGAGAGCAAGTTCAAATGGTAAATTGTGCAGTGAGGGATTGTCATTAAGATAAAGAGACTTAAGACAATCCAAATGTCCTGAAACGGTACTTCAAATATGTCATACAAACAAAACAAAAAATACAAAAGAGAAACCAGTGAACTAACCAATTTCTTCGGGAATGCAAGATAATGAGTTTTCACCGACTCGCAAATCTTGAAGGCTGGCCAGATTGCCAATGGTGCGAGGTAAGCTGATAAGCTTGTTAGATTGCACCCACAACTTGGTTAACTGGAGAAGAAATCCTGTAATACGATAAACTATAAGACACCACAAAGTAAGCTGATTGCTCGGTATTTTTCCAAAATAAAAGAATCAGCACTGGAAGCCATACCAATTTCGCTCGGAATGGTTTCCAGATCATTCTCTTCCAAATCAAGTTCACGCAACTTCTTGAGGTTTCCTATTTGCGCGGGCATCTTTTTGAGTTGGTTATTCGACAGAACGAGAATCTCCAAATTGACCTTAAAATAAAATGAGAATGAGAAAAGACTAATGAATAGGTCCACTGTTGAATGTGGATGTAAGAATACCAATTTTTCTATGTCCTCTGGTAACACTTTTAACTGATTGGTCGACAGATTCAGTTCCGTTATAGATGTCCACGTGCCCATATCTGAAGTAGAGCACAGGAAGTAAAAGGTACAAACCCTGTTATCAATGAAAAATTACCCAGAGGTAACGAGAGCAACTCGTTTTCCTTCAAATTTAACTTTGTGAGACCTACGGCTCGTGAGAAAATACCGATCGGAATCTTATTAATACGATTGTGCTCCATGTTGACCGTCTAGAAAAGAGAGAGCTGAAGTTTTTGAAAACTGGTCAACGTGCAAATAAAACTGTGCAACTCTGAAATAGACTGATGGCAAAATCTCAAACGTAAACAATGCAGACAATGTAAACATATCAATAAGTTACTCAAGGTCATAAAACTCACAACTGCTGAAGCAAACTGCTGCGGTCCACCTTGCGGAAAACCTGATAACTCGTTGCGCGAGAGGTTTACCGTTCGCAACTTTGGGAGACATGTGAGCATGGCATCCTGAACAAAACTGCTTTCAGAATGAGGAGCAATATGATTTCATCATCAAATGATCCTACCCCGAATGTCTGAAGAAAGCGGACTCGGGCGTGCGTTAATGTTAACCGCCGTCAAAGGAATATGCACTAAAGCATCGCTTAGACCGTGTTCAGACTTCGCGATCGAATCGTTCGAGCGATTCGATCGCGCGACCACGACCGGAGGCGCTCCACTGCCAAGCGATGCACCGCCGCGCAGTCTTTGAATTGAACCGCGTTCACACAGTTTGAATTATGCCGTTGCGGCGTTGCACCGTTTGGCAATAGAGCGCTGCGGTCGCGCGATCCAATCGCTCGAGCGATCTCATCACGAAGTCTGAACGCGGTCTTCGACTTCACGATGACGCGTGTCGACGTGCTACAATTTCAATGGTACTGCAGTGCTATAGATGGGAACGCAGCTGAAGACGTGTATCTGCGTGTACTGTGTCGGCAGTTACTGTGAGAAAGTATGGGAGAATAGGAATGTTCGCCTACAAAGTCTGGTACCACCTCTATCACCCTATACTCTCCCAAGACAGTAGCGGTCGCGGCCGATCAACAGCCGTCTCTGGGTGCGTTCCCGCCCATAGCATAGGAGTGCTGTAGTGTTAGTAGCATGTTTCGGTGCGACTAGCGCGTCTTCGCGAAGTTTGAACGCTGTATGAGAAAAGAATTCCGTCTCAAAAAAGAACGAGAGTAAATCAGCGCAAGACTAAACTCACAGGCAGTTGTTGCAGATGATTTCCCTCAATGATGAACTCTTCTAACTGATTACAATTCTCAAGAGAAGCCGGTAACGTACGAAGCTTATTATACCTGAAACACAGGTACTAAACCACGGCAAGCGACTCCATTAGATCAGCTGTATTCTATTTCTCCCATTAGAGGACAGTCAATTCCTCAATCATTACTGCAACCTCAATCGAGATGGGGCCATTGACTCATTTCCGCTCATTTCCTCTCCAGTTCTCTTTTTCGAGCCCACCTATCCATCTCAATTACTTCCTGTCCTTCCAATCATGGCACACAGATAGGGGCAAGTTTGGCATTTGAATAAAGAGGGTACTGGCGAATGCCGCGGTACTAAACAGTAGACAAACCGCGGGTCACCTGAGAGGAAAACCAAATTTCCACATACACTGTCAATGAACCGTGAACGCATCGTTCTAGAGGATGGACAAGAACGGCTGACCAGATTGCCCCCTCCCGCACCTCTTCCGCCGGGTATCGAATGATTTCCTGGCTTCAACTTCTTATTGACATTCGTAGCAACAAAATGCTGATAAAGTACAGCGAGTCCCCGACAGTCATACTCTCCATGAGGTTCAAGTTTTTATCAGTCTGCCATAGATTCTTACATGTCGAGCATTTATCTTATGAAAATAACAATAATATTGCAACAGTAGCGAAACAACAAGACTGTGTCATAGGTAAGATTTGCTAGCGAAAATCGTACCTGATACCTAGCCGAACCAGATTCGTCAGTTTTCCCATTGTTTCCGGTAACTCCGCAAGATCATTATGCTGTAGATCAAGTTGTGTTAAGCTGATGCAGAGGCCCAGTTCTGAAATAAAACTTACTATTAGTGCGAGCTAAAGAGGCCGGTTTTAATTTGATAAATTATAATGCTATGCAGGTAAGTGTTGCTCGATGCGGATGAAGGGTGTGTCAGGCGGGATGGGTTTGGCACAGCGCCAAGCACGTTCTTCACCAGTTGTTGAAGGGGGTGAACGACACCAGTTGCTGGAAACGACTGATGCGACAACAACTGGTGAGTTTAGCGCAGCGACAATCCCATCCCGCTTGACACGCAATTCATCCGCAGCGAACACGATTGTAACTGTATGCGATAAAAACGAGGTAGTGAACATTCAATGGTTGGCACTGGGAAAAAAGCTTCTAGTCAGAAGATTAGATCTAAGAATAATGCCTACAAAAGAAACAGCTGAAGATAGAATAGCGAATAAGTACAAGAAATGTAGAAAAAACAGGAGCCATAAAATTGGATTACCAAAACCTCTGTTCACCTGTGAGACAGTTCCTACTTAAAGGCAGTTGGACACGATAAATCCCTAAAGACGAGTAGGATTAATACGCCTGGCAGGACGGAATTCCGCGCCCCTGAGCAGGCGCTGCGTAGCGCCTTTTCCGAGGAAGGTACCTTTATAAGGGCCTATCAAGCTACAACAAACCAACCCAGACGCCCTCTACCCCGCCCGCCCACAAATGGACGACCATTCCTGACGCTCGTATTGACAAATTTAGAAGTGAAGGGATTGGTATGAAGCGACGGCGGTGCCGCATGGATATAGTACATACACGCAGCCGTATCTTCGGTAGCGGTTATTGCTCAAGATGCCGGAGATAAACTCGTCCGAAATTGATTTTTAAGTCTCTGGAAACGAAGGTTTTCCTTCGCATGTTTTTGACCGTTCTCACTCCGTTCTTTCGCCATTTTTCCACTATATAGCGCCCTGCTAGCATTTAAGGCCGAGTAAAAAATTATCGTGCCAACTGCCTTTTTCTAGATCGGACACCAGTTTCCTAAATTCTGGTCAAAATAGTTGCTATGCTCTGTTTAAAAAGTTGCTATGCTCAGTACATTCCTTTTGACCCCTCTAATGCCTCCCTATGTATTCCTTCTTTCTCACTGTTTCTGGATCAGACCCTCGTTTTCCTTTCTGTCTTAAAGTATGCCTTTGCCTTGAATTGAAACAATTCACAGCAACATTCTACTTTACTGCAAACACCTTGCTTTCCACCTCTTTTCAATGGGTTTACCACATACTTTCATCTTTCTCTTTAATTATCCCTAGCAAGGGACTTAGTCATGCTGCTCTCACTTAATACGAAACTAATATTGAAGCTTCTGACAATGAGCTACGTGCGTGATATCCAGTCATTAGCCGCGTGTATGTCTTGGTCTTCACCTTTCTCGCTTTGGCATTTCTTCTGAATTCTACATCTAAAAAACCTCGTTTTCTCTATGCATTGAACTGCTTCTCGAAGGCACTTTTTTTCTTGCCTGCCGATCTCGTTCCTTTTTTCATTTTGATTCTATAGATGTACGTCTTTCAAAACAGAGTTTGCGATTGGCAAATGAGCAGAAGCCCTCACTTGCAAAGGGTGGTGGGGCTTTAGATCACGCCCAATTTCCGTAACTTGAATGTGTTCGGCTCTACCACGATAAACAATCACCGCCTTCGCAACTGCGCTCCACACTTACTATTGTTCGGCAAGGCTAAAATTGTGTGAAAAGTGGCCTCGATTATCCGTGCACTCTCTCACACCCACCATCGTCTCTCTTCCTCCTCTCTAGGCTCAGTGTCTTCGACCTATGCTCATATGATGCTTAGAACCGGCAGGGATGCTATCTGGGATGTTTTCAGTACCATTTTTTTTCTACATTTTCCATGACTGTTGAGATACGTAGTACCCAGGAATTTGAATTTTTACCCCACTAGAGACCAGCATCCCTCTGCCTTCAAGTCCTTTTCGTCGCTTCGCATGTCTATGTTTTTACTGCAACATGGCAATTACGGCCAAACGTTCGCTGTTTCCTTTTCGCCGTCTCAGGACATCTGTCAATTACAGAACCTTCCCACTCCTTCTCTTATGCGTTCCTTCCTTCGCTGCTCCTCTTCCTTATTTTTCTTCTTCAGATGCTCCACAAAATACGATGACAAAGTAGCTTTGAGCCCACACAGCAAGATAATATCCGGTTGACGGACACCCTGTAGCCTCCCCCCGGTTGTAAGCAAAAACTGGTCTATCAGCAAATTGAGGGATGTCATTAATTGTGGTGACTTTTATGTAGGACAGCGTTACCGTACCAAACTTAGCATATAGGGTTCATTTGCAATGTCGTGAGTAAGATTTTCCCACAGTTCCTCGTTCCGGAACACATCTAAAGAGCAACAACAGGCTCATTTTATCGAACTAGTTCGGACGCACTCTATCAAAAGATATAATCTCTAGAAACAAGAATCAGGGAAGACCCTCTGACAAAAAGAAGACGAATATTTCTCGGAGGAAATTCGTCCCTACTCATAAATGAGGAAAGACAAACATATCCCAGAGGACGTATATGTTCAACTGCAAATTCGGCGAATGGTTTATGATATAATGACAACTGACAAGCAAACTATGGTTCGCAGACTAGTTGTACGATAATTTACTGTAGAAGTATACCTTCCTGGCTTCTAAACAAAAGTGCGCAAACAAGGCTGGAAGGCTATAACGAACATCCGGTTACGCACCCTCCAGCTGCAGCTTCACTTCCGCGCACTTTCGAGTTTTGAAAGTGATACAACTCTACAGTTACCGATCTGCAGTTACTTAACACTACTCGTGGAGGTGAGAATCAAGTCACGGATTTACTGCTTCGAGGCAAATGGCACGATAATTTGGTAGTGGGCCTAAAATGCTGGCAGGGCGCTGTACAGTGGAAAATGGCGAAAAAACGAAGTGAAACGGTCGAAAACTGCGAAGAAAAGCCTTCGTTCTTGGAAAAGCAATTTTGGACGAGTTTCCCGCAGGCATCCTGCCAATAACCGCTACGGTAGATACGGCTGCACGTATGTACTCATATATCCATGCAGCACCGCGGCCGCTTCATGTCAATCCCTTCGCTTCATATTTTACTTCGCAAATGAAGCAATACGAGCACCAGGTACGGTCGTCCATTTGTGGGAGGGGTGGGGGGGGGGGCTGGCGGTCACTGGAAAAGGCGCTACGCAGCGCCTGCTCAGGGTCGCGGAATTCCGTCCTGCCAGGCGTATTAATCCTACTCGTCTTAGGGAGTTTATCGTGCCAACTGCTTCTCACTCTTGCGAGCAGGTACGTCGTACATTGGGAATCCCCAGACAGGAAAGTTGTCTTTGAGGGAAATTTTTTCGTATGCTGAGTTTTCACGGTTTTTTTTTCTGTTTAGAGTGCGGCATAGCTCACATCCTCGAAAAAGTGGAGAACTTCCCGGAAAAAAAATCCGGGAAAGTCACAATCTGAGTGACTGTTTTCTTTCGCGGCAAACGAAGGAAAGTGGAAAATTAGGAACATGGTAAGTAGGATGCAAGAAGGGAAGGAAAGTCGTACCAGAGGAGGAAATTCGGGCAGGGATCGCATTTTTCAACAAATTTCCCCAACGACAGGACGTGCTCTACTCGCGAGACTTCCACCGAGTTGTGCGAAAAAGGTTACATGTACGCATGCCTGTGGGAAGAAAATATAATGCAGAAAGAAAACACACCATCAGGGACCTTCGATAAGTGATTGTAGCTGAGAAGACAGACAACCAAGGATTTAATTTTGCCGATTGATGCCGGTAAACTGTGGATCTTGTTCTCACGCAAATCAATCATTTTGAGTCTGGAAAGAGAACTCAGTCCACGAGACTTTTAGCAATAAGAGCGTTGCAAACATACCTGGTCAAATTCCCGATATCCTCTCCGATCGACACGATCCTATTGTATCGTAACCAGAGCGTTTCGAGCGAGGTAATCCGATAAATGACAGACGGTATCTGAACAATCCACTTGTCATAATCCTATAATTACATCGACTAACGACATAATGGTACGATGTTTACCTCTGTGAGCTTGTTATGCCGCAGATCTAAGGTTTCTAATTGCGTAAGAGAAGCAAGTGAATCGGGTAGGGAACAGAGAGCATTTTCACTCAGGCCTAATTTTCGTAGAGAAACCTAAAATAGGGAAATAAGGATCACATAACAACAATCCTGAACTTTCTGAGAAAGATTTAAAAACCTGTTCACCTACCAAATTTCCCAACTCTGACGGCAGTTGGGTAAGTTTGTTTTTGTACAGAAACAGCTCAGTCAATTGTGTCAGATCCCTGATCGAAGACGGTATAGACGTGATCTGAGGTTGGAAGGTGAACAGTTAGAGAACTGAAAGCTCAAAGACTGCTATTCCTTAGAAACAATTACTTACATCATTGGAACTGAGATCAAGCCGAAGATCATTATTGTCGCGACACCTCTGGAATTCACGATGGAGATCCTGAAAAGGTCCTCCTTATTGATTTGTCGCAAAACAAGAGATAAGAAGTTGCTTTCGCAGATAAACCCATTCCAACTGTGTCATCGTCGCTATTTCAATTTTTATGGAGAAGAAAAATAGTTGGTGGTTAATGGCCACAACATCGTGGACATTTCTTAGATGCACCAAACCAAAGGGGTCTGCTGTTAGATCAGTATGTCACCATGGACTAGCTAAGCGTTCAGACTTCGCGCTAGCGCGAATGGATCGCGCGATTAGGACTAGAGGCGCTGCACCGCCAATCGGTGCGCCGCCATTGTGTAAAAGCGGCCCACTTTGGATTCTGCAGTTGCGGCGGCGCGCCGTTTGGCTGTGGAGCGCCTCCGGTAGTAACCGTGCGATCACGAAGTCTGAACGCTGTCTAGGACTAATGCAAAGCCTCCGCGAAAATGAGCCTTCGCGAAAATAAAACTCTGAATTGTTCGGTTAAAAAAGTGGTAACAAATCGGACAACCCAAGTTAGGTTTACTTAGCCACTTTGCATTTCACTTAACTTTTTAGACCCCCGACTGGTTTGAGAGAATGTGCCGTGAGGGTCTCGAAGAAAAAGTGTAGAAAGGCTAAGGTCAACGGGTGAACAGGTATGTAGAGGGTGCAAAAAACCTGCAAAGGAGATGGGATAACCCACAAAAATGGAGCTAGAGTACAAAAATGAAAGAAAAATCCTGTTGTCATGCCAGGTAACCATTACCACCAGGGTAAAGTTACCTGATTTGCTGAAATATTGCTTTTTGCCTTTGTAAATATCGTGCTTATATCGGGTAAGACTTTACCCGGGAATACTCGTATAGTATAACGCCCTACCTTTTTGGGTTTTTCATTGAATGTAGTAGAATTGGAGGTCTTCTCGTTCAGCGAATGACGTGTTTTGGAGCGAGCGAAATTGCTCAATCGGCCAATGACACCAGGGCTCTTCGAACGGGCGCCCTCCTTGGTTGGTCGGAATTCGAAATCCTTCGTTTCCATTCTTGCCTTAAGGCAAAGAGCCAGCGCGTCTGGAAGTCGCGCTGTGCCCACACACTTTCCACTAACAAAAGCCAGGGTCAGTCGTGATTCAGGTGACGATCAAGGCATTCAATACAATTGATTGATCAGCGTCGTGACGAGTTCTGGCAGCAATCCTAGACCAAAAACGGATCAATACGGATCGATAGTGATGATGATGAGCGGAAGCGAAGATAGTGCGCAAAACAGGCAAAGACGGAGACGATAATTGCGCAGCGAATGATAGTTGAAAGTGGCAGGAGCGCAAGATGATGCGGAGAGACGGGGAGCCCCTCAAACCCTACCCGGTTCCACACGCACACTCTCTTTCTCTGTCTCGCATGCACTTGATTTTGCATTAAAGGAAAGAGATAGCGGTGCAAAGTGATTGCTGCTGACTGAGAACTGCCGGCTCTCTGATCATCCATCACACCCAAGCTACCACAACAGCAACTCAAACCTCCGTGACCTAATGACCCTTTCACTGATCAAAAATTACCACGATGAATGGCTCCAGCGGGAAATCACAATTTAGCTACGCGGTGATATCGTGGGCTTGCTCAACGTCCCTGCTTTGGGAAGAACTACAACAATGCGAACTTTTCCATATACGCTATCACAAGCTAGCATTGACATGGCTATTGCGGTAGAAGATAAACTGAACTTGGAACGAATCGAATAAAGGGTACAAGATTTTACACTGAATAATTATCGGTCACATTATCCTTTAATAATTCAAGGCTATTGTTCTATTGTTCTTATTGTTCTTGCCGAGGCTGAGAGGAAAACAAGTGAAGGCGTTGTCGTAGCTTGGGAGGAAGGGCCACCCGGCAGTGCCTGTCGGCCTTTCCCCCTTAAGGCCTGGGCTCAAGTCGGTGAGTGTCTCGGAGAAAACAGGGCAGATCATCGTTGGGGATCCCCCAACAGGGTGGTTGTATTTAACCGCTGGGGGAGGGGGAGGTCTGAGGAAAATTTTATGGATATTTGATTTTTCTTGCTTCACGGACGCATAAAGAGGGGGACGTATCTACTCGTTGCTGGGATGGGGTATTACTATTTGCCTTCTGGTCTTGTGAGCGAGGTTGAGGTTGTTGACTTCTCGTGGTTTTTCCCGTTCCATATGTACTATATCCCCCTGCTCGACAGCTTGACGAGGAGGGAACTATGGGTCGTACCTTAAAGGGGAGGGGGGGTCGTATAGAATCGACCAAAATCCTCAACCAATGATGTGCCCTGGAAGAAAAATGTAAGGAAGTGCTGAGACCAGCGATTATCAGCTTTGTAGAGGTGCAAAACTTTGCGAAGGAACTGGCATGATCCACAGAAAACTGGATCTCGAGTTTGCAAAAGTAAAAGGGAAACCGCGACTAAGGATGGTAGCATTTACCCGCTAAGATTATCTTACTTGATTTGCTGAAATACTGCTGCTTCGTTTCTGTAAATATGGGACACCCCGGGCAAGACATTATCCGGGAATGAGCGCAATATAGCGCCCTACGCTTTGAGGTTTTCCCTGCACGGGGTAGAATGGGGGATCTGTCTTCCTCCGTAAAACTATCCCACGGTGACTCTGGTTGTCCCCGTTCTAGGCTCGAGCCATAGTTAGAGGAAAGAACACACAAGTCGATTAGCGCCCGGTATTGAGAGAGATAACGCTTCAACCCATTTATGCAACTTACAACAACGAATCTCCAGTAGAACAAGAGGCGTTTGTATCACAGTATTATCTCACTACGAGCCCCTATATATCGTAACCCAAAGATGTATGCCGAATGGCGCGGCTGTCAACTTTCCTACTGTTACTGGGGAGCTGTTGACCCGCCAGCACCACGTCGCGCTGAAAATCTCGTGCATGCCGTTTATTATCCTGACAGACATGCTTGATCAACCCCAATAAACAACAATTTATCGACTATTTTATCATCGCTCCCATTGAATAACCTTTCCTGACAAGTAGCAGAATAATAGTCAAGTCATCAGTACGTAACTCTGCGTCTATGATGGTTTCCTGCTAATGTAGGTCGATTAAACACGTCTGTCAAGATCAAGAGCTATCTGGACGAGTTTCCGGCACAAATGAAGGGCTGCAGAGGCAGAGAGGATTTGGAAATTACGTTCAGTAGCGCCTCAGTAACGGTACGACAGTTGACAGCTGCGCCATTCGACCGCCTCTCGTTTTCTCTTTCAAGAGAACATTCAAGTCACGAACCAATGCAATAATGCTGGAATTGGGACCTCGCCTTTTTTTAATTTCATGCGCCAGTACTGGTTCAGTCTACAACTTTATACTTTCATTCAGGAAAAGAAGGTTTTAGGGTAATGCAATAGGCAAAAAACGAGCACACAGCCTGCCACTTCACTGAGGGCGTATTGTCGTTCATTTTGTCACGGGATTACGGCGCTATTCCATAAAGGATTGGCAATTTGGTGAAGAGTATTGTAGGCATTGAAACCACAACAACCGGCACCAAGGCGATAAGGAATTTGTCCATGTCTATGGAGGAGCGAGCCCCGGTTTTGAGAACCGTCCTTTGGGCAAGAACTGTTTTCTCGAGCTAATTTACCAATGCGGTCGACTTTCTTGGAGTAGCGCAGAAACTGCGATATTGACTAGTTGACCGCAAAGTTGTAGGCAGCAGAACTTAGCGCGATCATGGGATTATATTACTCATTCTGTTCCAATTGAGCTGCTACTAGTTAGTTATAAGTGCAGCAGAAAGGCCGCTATCCCATTAAAAAATGCAGCAGAAACGAATTCTTTTGAACCAACTGCGGTTTCTATCCACTCACTGATCATCTTGCACGCCCTGCGTTCAAAAATAGTGACTTATGCGGCTCAAATTCTGTAGACAAGATAGTAAATACAGCAGAAGGTGAAGAAAAAGGCACTGAAAGTGCACATGAAGTGCTCTGCCTACAACCCCATGTTGAACCGCGCTTGTATGCGCAGAAGGCGAAGGAAGGGCGTGATTGGACGAGCTCTTGTTAGTGCCAGCTCTAGCTCTCTCTCTCTCACTCTCTCTCTCTCTCTCTCTCTCTCTCTCTCTC